AAAAAAAAAAAAACCAAACAAACAAAAAAAAGAAAATCAATTTGGAGAACAGAGTCGAACATTCCACCTTCAGGCACTTAAAGGTTTAACTATATTACTGCAATATTAACCACTTATTGCACTACCTAAACCTTCTGAACCTGACGTAAGTTCAATGGAAGGATGTTTAATCCATAAAGATAATAAATTCAGAATCCAAGTCAATAGCACCCTCTGCTTGCAGACAATTTAATTTCATTTTACAGGGTTTCCAAAAGCAATACATAATAATTCTGAAAAATTGATCTCTAAAACTGTTCAGTTAATGCTACTTATGTGAGATATATAAATCTCATCCGACCAGAAAGAATGCCTAGGACATTTTACATGGAAGTCAAGTGTGAGTGCCAATTAGAAGGACCCTGGTAAAAATCAAGACTGGAATGTAACACTACTGTATTGGCAGCAGAGTGCAAGGAAGAAGACTTCAAACATTAGCACCCCTGAGAAACATCCAGGGAGCTTGTGTAGTAAAAGGAGGATCTCCGTACACATTCTTTAGATTCTGGTTCAATGGCTCCTTCTTTGAAGTCCAGATGTCTGCATTTTCAACATATATTTCAGTTATTCTGATACAGAAGGCCACTGGTCCAGTTTTACACAGTGCAGCAGAACATCCTTTAAGTGGCAGACCAAAGCATTTTCACTGTGACAGACAATGATTCATGCATCTTTAAAAATGGTATTTCAGCTGGGTGTGGTTGCTCATGCCTATACTCCTCCAGAGGCTAAGACAGGAAGACTGCCACAGGTTTGAGGCCAGCGTGAGCTACACAGTGAGTTCAAGACCAGCCTGAACTACACAGCAAGACCCTGTCTCAAAAAAAAAAAAAAGAATGAATTTGTAAGACTCTAACTCTCAGAAAGTTTTAGTACCTGGCATTCACCTAAGGATCACCACTGCCCTGAAGACTTACCACTTTGCTCTAGAGTTGGTAAAACTTCTAACTTAATTACCCTTATTGCTCTAGAGTTGGTAAAACTTCTAACCTAATTACCTTTATAAGATCTACCATAGAAATTTTCTCACTAAAATAGAAGTCTGATGATAGTTGGCCTTAAAATTCAAGAAATTCTAGAGTTACCTTCAAATTTGTGCTAAAAACAACTTCCAACTTATTTTGGTGCTACTTGCTACTTACGAGTGTATGAGCACCTTAATCTCACTTATGTTTTCATAGTCAAACCCTCTGACTGACTGACTGATTGACTGTTGATTTATTTATTGAGACAGGGTCTCCCTCTGTAATTCGGGCTATAGCCTAGACTCTTGACAATCTCCCGCCTCATCCTAGAAAGTGCTGGGATTACAGGCATGTGCCACCACACAGAGCTTTGACTGTCTTTTTAAACACCACCTTCATTCTGATAACTGTCCTTCATTTTCTAGCATCACATCTCTAAGATCCAGAGTGTTATCTCAGGGTAACTCTCTTTTCTTCTCTTGTTTTACCATCTCTTTTACATATGTACATACATGGGTTTTTCTTAGAGATTTTATCTTTTTTGTGTGCCTGGTTCCAAATTCCCCCTTGCTAAATTTTTCTTTATAATTACTGTGATCTGCCTGAGGGGAGAGGGGGTGGGGAAGCCTATATTTATTTCATAATTCTCCTAAGTAAATTGAGAAAACATGTTTTACAGTAAATAAAAGTGAGAATAATTCCTGTTTTTAATCTAAATACTCTATTAGCATCCTTGTAATTTAGTTCCCTAGAAGCTCTTTTAGTAGATTACAGATAAACAGTGATTTTTTTTCTCCACTAAGTTTATTGGTACTTTTTAGGTATACATTATGATCACATTCATCATTGGAAATTTGAACCTGTACATGATATATCGTGGTTCTTGTTTTTTCCCATTCCCCTTTCCTTTCTTCCGCCCCTCTACTCCTTCTTATTTACAAGAGCTTTGTTTCCATTTTTTCCTTCTTTTTTCATAAAAAGCAATTACTTATTGGGCCGCGGATTTAGCTCAGTGGTGCCATCGCCTGCCGCGCAAGCACAAGATCCCAAGTTCATTCCCCGGTACCAAAAAAAGTAGTTACTTTTTTCTGGTACCGGTTATCAAACTCAGGTCCTTGCGCTTGCGCAGCAGGCGGCGAAACCACTGAGCTAAATCCCTGGCCCAAGTAGTTACATATTGATGTAGCACTACAGATAAGGAGCTTTTTATGAGAAATTAATGTAACTTGTGTTTAAAGATTTCCTTCACCTAGAAGGACGAGGCATGGACTGACTAATGAGACCCTTCAAGAAATTTATATAGTGTACTTTATGTACCTACCAGGAATAATTTAAGGAAAGCACTTTTAGGAGCCAAGAAGAGATTCTTTCCTCTTCCTATAATTTGCCAGATATCCACTGCCTGTTATCTGACAGTTTTCAGCACTGTCATGTGGTAGTAAGGTGAAAACGCAGAAAGGGCAGAATAATAATTTACTTGCACAAATAAAATTGCAGCTACAATAAATGCTACAAAAAGAAGATTCTCAATACCTGGGAAGTCTTTTAATGGGCCCTGACCTGGTCCAGGAAGTTAGGAAAACTATTCTATTTAGTGCATTATTTCAAAACTGCTAATGTTGTCTTCCACTAAAATTTAAGTTCCTTAGAAGCAGAAGCCATATCATTTTACCTCTATTTGCAGTGCTTGCCATGTAGTGGCTTTATGGAAAAAGTATCTATTTAATCTAAACTGTGTATGTCATAGAGACTTTACATGAAAACATTCTATTTGCCTTTAGTCAGTTTGTGTCTTGTGAACCAGAAAGAAAAAACAAATATTTATTTTTTAAATAAACTTATGTTTCTATAGATTCGTGGTACTCTAAAGAGCTGGACCAAGTTATGGTGTGTGCTGAAACCTGGGGTATTACTAATCTATAAAACCCAAAAGAATGGTCAGTGGGTTGGAACTGTTCTGCTGAATGCCTGTGAAATCATTGAGCGTCCATCAAAAAAGGATGGCTTTTGTTTCAAACTTTTCCATCCTCTGGAGCAATCTATTTGGGCAGTGAAGGTATGTAACCTTTGTTGAGATAAAGATGACCGTCTGTGAGTAGAACTGATAAATCAATCAAATGACTTCTGTCCTTTGCCAGTACTCAAATTCATTTCTATTTTAAAAGGTCCCCTTTCTGTCTCTATCCACATTACTTCAAAAGGCTTTATTTGCCTTGGTAATCTAACATACTGTTTTTCCAGAAAATATTTCTCAGATTTATATTATTTATTATCTCTTTTGTCCTTGAGGATTCGATTTGTGCTATTATGTCAATTTGTAATTGCTAACCCTTCTTTATAACATTGTATCATGTTTACTGTGTTTTTTTCTCTTCATAAGAATGGTAAGATCCCCTAAAACAGAAGCTGCCATTTATTTATCTCTGTGGTATTTCCTGTAGTGATATGAATGTGTGATGGGCAGCGTAGAAGGAAGCAAAAGCAGCACTGCTTACTCTTAATGGAGGCAGCTTTTGAGATGGAGCTCTTAACATTTTTTATAATGAAAAAGCATTACTGTGATTACTCCTGTACTTACTGCTGTATGCTAACCAAATCAGTCAGTGTAATTTCAGTATTTATAAGATGATTATTGCTTTGGTTTCTAGGAAGGTTAATTATCCTTGATAAAGGGTTTTGAACTCCTTCTTTAAGGAAAATTACCTATTGGCACAAAAATAGGCATGTGGATCAATGAAATGTAATAGCCACAATGCCAGGCACATTTAGCGATCTGATCTTTGACAAAGGGGCCAGAAACATACAGTGGAGGAAAGAAAGCCTCTTTAACAAATGGTGCTGGGAAAATTGGCTATCCGCATGGAGAAGATTGAATCTAAACCCAAATACCTCACCATGTACTAAACTAAAATCAAATGGATCAAAGATCTAAATATAGGACAGAAACAATCTGCTAGAAGATAAAATAGGTAAAACTCTAGAAAAGTCATAGGTGTAGGCAAGGACTTTCTGAACAGAACCTCAATTCCACAAGAAACATCAAGAGTCAGCAAATTCACTGTTTTATATCTAGTGCACTGGTGGGATGAAAATTATTTGTTAAAATTAAAATTGGGTTTACCTATTTTATCTTCTAGTGGGAAAGTGGTTGGCACATGTACACAACACATCTCAATACTTTTTTCCCCCTTCTCTTCACTCCCTTTTTAAAAAATTTTTTTGCCAACATCAGATTATTTGTAAGTCTTTTTCAAGTTATCATAAACACAACTTAACAGCAAGACTAATAAGCCAAAAAATATACAAAATTCGTAAGACAAAATTATACTAAATCAAGGAACACTTTTAGATACATTGGCAATGCTAGATTTTTCCTTTCTTTTTTTTTCTATTGTGTTTTTACTTTGTACTTTATTTATATATTGAGTTTCTCATATAAAGGAAACCATGTGACATTTAAGCTGTGTGTCTGATTTGTTTCACTTAACATTTTGGTCTCAATGTATGCCCATTTTCCTACAAATGACTCAAGTTTATCCTTCTTTATGACAGAGTAGATTCCACTGTATATAAAAACCACATTTTCTTTATCCATTCATCTGTATGGTTATATAGGCTGCTCCCAGGATTTAACTATCATGGATTGTGCAGGAATAAACATGGGTTTGCATATATCTCAGTAATATGATGTCTTTAACACTTTTGGGAAGATACCTAGAAGGGGAATAGCTGGATCAAATGGAATTTCTACTTTTAGTTTTTTAGGAATCTCCATACTGATTTTCATAGTGGTTGTAACAGTTTACGCCCCCACCAAAAATGAAGAAATGTTCATTTTTTCCCTGCAGCCTCACCAGCATTTGTTATTGTTTGATTTCTTGATGACCATTCTTTCTAGAGTGAGATGGAATCTCATATTGTTTTAATTTGCATTTCTCTAATGTCCAGAGAGGTTGAACATTTTTTCATGTATTTATTGGCCACTTGTACTTCTTTGCCTGAGAAATGTCTATTCATTTCAGATGCCCATTTTTGATGGGGTCTTTAATTTTAGAGGGTCTAATTTTTTTAAGATCTTTATATATTCTTGAGATTAGTCCCTTTTATTGATTTCTAAGTTCATTGCACTGTGATCTGATATTATGTATACAATAATTTTGATTCTTTTACATTTATTTAAGCATGATATATGGGCTCTGTTTTGGAGAAAGTCCCATGTACTACCGAGAAGGATCTGTATTCTGTTACTGTTAGATGGAACACACTGTAGGTACTTACTAAGTTTGAAAGTTTGTTTCAACTGATATTTCTTTGTTGATCTTTTTGTTCTGGTTTGTCTGCCGATTAGCAACAGTGAGGTATTGAGGTCCCCCATTACAGTTGTCTTAGTGTATGTATGATTTTTCATGTCCATTAATGTTTGTTTGATGAAGTCAGGTGTGCCAGTATTTGGTGTGTATATGTTTATAATTGTTATCTCTTCCTACTAAGTTGTTCCTGTAACCAATATGTAGTGACTTTCTTTGTCTCTTCTGATCAACTTTGGCTTGAAATCAACTTTGTCTGAGATTAGGGTAGCTGTGCCTGCTTTTATCTGGGTTCCTGTTGCATAAAATATTGTTTTCCCTCCTTTGATTTTTAATCCATGAGTTTCTCTGAATTAAATGTGTTTCTTGTATAGCGCATATCATTGGATTTTGTTTCTTGATCTATTCTGCCAGTCTATGTCTTTTGATTGGAGATTTGTATTGAGACCATTTGCATTGAGAGTTATTGACTTCTTCCTGTCATTGCATTATTTTCCTTTAGCTGCCCCCCTCCCCTTGCTTTGTGCTTAGCTGCTCATCCTGCCAAGTACATTCATTCTTTTTGACTTCTTGTCATTATTGGCTTCATTGTCATTTTCTAGAATATCCTTTATTTTATTTTTTTAATACTGACATGGTTATCAGTTTCTTCAAGTGCTCCTTGTCATGGAAATACTTTATTTCTCTGTCAATTTTGAAGGACAATTTTGCAGGGTTGGAAGTTCTTGTGGGTTTGAAACACTTCACTCCAAGCCCTCCTGCCCTTTTTAGGTTTGTGTTGAGAAGTCTGCTGTAATTCTAATGTGTTTACCTTTATTATATGTGATTCATTGCCTTTCTCTAACACCTTTTAAGATTTTGTCCCTATGTTGTATGGCTGGTATTTTGAATATAATGTGGCCCAGAGAGGTTCTCTTTTGGTCATGGCTATTTGGGATTCTATATACTTCACTTATCTATATATTTATTTTTTTTTATATTTGGGGAGTTTTCTGCCATTATTTCTGTGAAACAGATTATTCATGCCATGTGAGTTGTCTTCTGATTTTTCACTTATTCCAGTTACTCTTAGATTAGTCTTTGTGTCATCTAGCAGCTGTTGGATTCATTTTTTATGTTCTCTTGTTGCTTTTCAGGTGTTCTCGTGTAGTTGGTCTTTGAAAGCATCATTGTCTTCTGGTTCTGAAATTCTCTCCTCACATTGGTTGCTTCTGCTGCCCGTGCTTTCCATATAATTTTTAATCGCCTGGATTTCTGATTGAAATCTTTTCATGAACTCTAATTCTTTGGTAAATTGGCCATTCATATTTTTTATCATTTTGTTTAGCTCATCAAGCTTTTTTATTAGTGTCTGCTGAAAGCTCCTGGATCATCTTGGTTATTACTTCCATTAGCTGTTTAGTTACATCTTCTGTGATCCTGCTGAGTACCTCTTTGATCTGTTTTCTAACCTCCTCTGATATCTTTTCAAGTAATTCAGGTGTGCAGCTTATGCTCTTCTGCCCCTTAATGCCCCTGGATTAGCTTTGGGGGAGTTAGGAGTTTTAGGAGGCATTTTGTTGCCTTGTCTTCTTGTGTCCTTATTGTTTGGTATTGAGGTTTGTGGACGCTTGTACTCTAAAGATTTTGATGCTAGTATAGAGATCTCTTTAGTTGCTTTTCAGTGATGTACTTTGGGCATAGATAACTATATTTAGCCCCAAGATCTAACCACTTTGATTAATTTTCTATGGGAAGATATAGTATAATTAGTCCAACAACTGAGTTCTCTGAAAATGTATTCTAGAATTGTTAATGTCACAAAGGTAATCTGAATATTGGCTTACAGAGAAATAGCAATAATTATGTGACTCTGGTAATATCAAGCTAATCAGCTGGAGTGGTATTGTTCAAGACAAATTAGATATTAACATACTATAAGCATCAACTATGTACCACCCTTAACCTTAAAGAAGAAATCCACAATTATGGTGTAAACATTAAGATAATCCACATATTGTTTTAGAGCTAATATGTACTAAAGGTGATAACTGTATTTCCACTAGTGGTAGGGAAGAATTCAACAGTAGTTTTGTAGAGTTAAGTAGCAAAAAATTAATAAAGCTTTATGGTCATACTATTAAATGTATAAAGTTTTGGAACATGGGAATGCAGGAGGAAAAATGTGAAACCTTAAGCTATATGATATGAGAAAGAGCAGAGAGAAGTGGAACAAAGGATCTTATTAGGAAGTAGAAGAATGTTCATAGAATTAGATACAGGTAAGAGAAAAAATTGACAAGAAATATAAGATAAACGAAAAAGAAGAAAAAAAGAAATTATATGAGGAGTAAAAATAAGTGAAAAAAGTTAGGGCCAGGTGTGGTGATGCACACCTGTGATCCCAGCACTGAGGCAAGAGAATTGCGGCACGTTTGAGGACAGCGTAAACTACATAGTGAGTGCAAGGCCAGCCTGAACTACATAAGCAAGACCCTGTCTAAAGGGATAAAAATTAAAAGAGAAAAGAGGAAAAAATAAAGAAAAAAAGAATTAAGAAAAGAAGATAAGAAGCAAGGAAGAACGACAAAAAAATATTCCCCCAAACCCCAGTAAACTGGTGAAGAACAAAGGAGAAAAGAAAAAATAATAAGATAAAGAAGCCTAAAAACAATGCACATACTAACAAAAAACAAAAGCAAACAAAAAAGAAATTTCTCTGTGATTTCAAATGTGTGGTTTTCTTTCAGGATCTATAATTTTGAGGCAGTGCCCAAGTCAAGACATGTCCCATTTCACACTGGTAGATAAAGCAGGAAGCCAGACCTAAGATCCATGCTGGATGCAGGTACCAGCAGACAGTAGGATTAGGGCAAGGAGGCCAGTGTCGTAATTTTCAAACCCAGAGCTATTCAATCCAGAGCTTGGCCTCTGGCTGTGGGGGTAGGGCCTGTGTCCTTTTGCTGAAGTCCCTCAGTGAGTCTCTTTCCGGGCCATCTCCCGTGGCTGTCTCTCACCCAGTCACTTTGGGAATGTAACACTGGAAGTCCTGAAGTGAAGCTGTCCTGCAGCTGCTCTGAGTCCTCGGTTCCATCAACCCTTCCCTAGAATGGCATCCGATTAAGCACTTTCTCCAGGGATATAGCAGGCACTTGGACTGGAGTCCCTCACCAGCTATTGCCTGTAGGAGGACTCACATGGAAGCAGAATCCCGAGCTCTCCCTGAAGCTCCTGGCACCCACCCACTGGTCTGTTCTACTGCTGCATTTCTCCCTGAAGCCCTCTGGAGTTCCCAGCTTTTACTTTGTCTCTGCAGACTTCATTTCCCTTTCCCAAGAGCTACGAGCTGGGAGCTGGAGAGAAAGTAGACTGTCCTTTCCCTTCTCAGCATGGTGTTCTGTCTGTTTGATTTCTCTGTAGGTTTTAATGTTCCTGTCAGGTCATTTCTGGTTCCTGGGGATCTGCTTTTCTTTTTTTCTTCCCCAAGTTATTGTTTTCCAGTGTCTGGATTCTAGATCTTGGAGAGGCTAAGTTGTTATTGTTTACCACTCTGCCATTTTCTCAGAAGTTCAATTTTCTGTTTTATTATTTTATTTATTTATTTATCTATTTTTTGGTACTGGAGATTGAACTCAGGACCTTGCACTTGCAAGTCAGGCACAGTGCCACTGAGCTAAATCCTAGGCCCTCCGATTTTCTGTTTTAATATCTAAGCCTTTGATACTTTTTAACTTGATTTTAGTACATGGTGATAGATATGGGCCTAGACTCAATCTTCTGTATGTGAATATGGCATGGTTTCTCTTATGTGAGAAACTCAAAATATAAATAATTTAAAGAGCAAAATTAAGGACGAGTAATAGAAATTAAGGGGATAGACTTTTTGCAAATTAGAAAGGGACCCAGAGATGGGGGGATGGGGAAAGAAGGAAAGGAGAAGGGGAAGAAAAAATAATTAAGATGTGTTATCCAACTTAGTGCAATGAATGTAACCACTATATACTACAAACATATACTAATAAAAAATTAAATTAAAAAATTAAAATTGGGTTTAGTGTATGGTAAATTTTAGGTTCTCTTTAAGATTTGAGCAATATTAAAGAATACTTAAATGGGACCGGGGATTTAGCTCAGTGGCACCACGCCTGCCTCACAAATGCAAGGTCCTGAGTTCCATCCCAGGTACCAAAAAAAAAAAAAGAATATATAAATGATGATAAATATCACTATTATTTTCTCTTAAGGAAATATATTTGTTGGAAAAGAAAACTTCCCTTAATACTTGGATTCTCAAGAAGGATGAAATTAAATCTTATTTCCTTTGAAATTATAATCCATGCCCGCCGTACATTATTACAGAAAGTAGTGGGCAATATAAAGTTAAGATGTTATAATGCTTACTCTATTCTATTTGTTTTGTTGTTAAGGGTCCAAAAGGTGAAGCAGTTGGATCTATAACTCAGCCTTTACCTAGCAGTTATTTGATCATCAGAGCTACTTCAGAATCAGATGGTAACTACAGTTTTTGATGGATTTGATTTTTGGTTTCATTTTTAAGGTTTTATTTTATATACTAATTTGTGTTATCCTTGGAAAAATTTATTTATTATGATACTTGTAGCAGAAACATTGTAATTATAAATTGCTTAGAAGACAAAACACATTATTAACTCAGTAGACAAAGAAATCTGATAGAAAGAAAGCATTGTATAATTGAGCAATATGTTAGCACCTTTAAGTGTCTTCTTTATCCTCCATTGACAGATTACACCTTTTTGACTTACCATTGTTCTTTATGATAACTCATTAAATGTTAACATTTTAGGGATATATTTTATTCTATTTAGATTTTATCATTAAATGTTAATGTGAGGTACATATGCACTGGTTTGGTGTTATTTTACATATGAAGATATTAATGTACAAATTATTTTATTCCACACTTAATAACTTGATAATTCATTTAGCAAGTATGATAGAACAAAATTTACTTCTATGAAAGCAAGAAAACTTTAAAACCTTAATTAATCATGGATTTCTTTTATATTTTATAGTTTAGATTAGCTGGATATAGAGAATCTTATAACCTTCCCAAGTAGACTTTTTCAAAGATCATTTTTTTAAATTAAAATATAATTATGAACTTTCAATATGAAAATATTTTATATGGCTGATAATTTCTATCAGATCTTGAAACAAACGTGTGTGTGTAAATTAAGCACTGAAGTATATGTGAACATTTTTCTGCTAATAGAAGTATAAGTTTTAATATACAAATAGAGGTATTAATGTTTCTCTTAATAATGTGGCAGTTTCTCCAACTAGTGACAGGATCATATGGCTTTCTCCTTTTCTCTGTTTAAATGATGACTTTTGGGGGTGGATCTTCCAGTGCTGGACCAACACTGCCATCCCTATAACAAAACCACTTTCTAAATCCTGCCAGATCTAACTTCCAATAGTTTGTTTTGTTAAACAAATTTCTATCTATGTTCATACTCTTTTCTTCTATTATCTTTGTCCAGTTTTAGGATTAGCACAATGTTGAGTTCCTAAAATGAGGGGAGAAGTGTTCCTTCTTTTTTCTGCTTTAATTGTTTGATATAATTTATCAGTTAAAATGTTCATGAGCCTGCTGTTGTCATGTAGGTAGGTTTTTAAGCTAGGAATATACTTTCTTTAATAGGTGCTATTCAAATTTTATATTTCCTCCAGAGTTAGTTTCATTAATTTGTCTTCCAAGGTACTTCTTAGAAGTTGTCAAATTTATTTCAAAACAGATTTTTGAAATATGCTTTCTATATCCTTCTAAATTCTGTAAAATCTGTGTTAATGTCTCCTAGATCTTAATATTGTAATTTTAAAAAATGTATAACTGGTATTGTGTAACAGGAAGAAAAGGTCTAAAAGACCAGGGGAATTGGGAGGGGTAGGGGAAGAGAAAAAAGGGAAAAGGAAAAATATAAAAAGAGGAAAAAAAATGGAAACAAGGTCTTTGCAAATAGGGAAGGGTGGAGGGGGTGAAGGGAGGGCAAGGGAAGGGGAAAAAAATAAGAACCAAGATACTCATGTAAAGGTACAAGATCCCAATGATGAATGTAACTATTTTATACCAAAAATGTACCAATAAACTTAATGGGGGGGGGAATAATAATGTGGCAGTTAATGATAGCATTATACAGAAATTTTCCTAATTTAAAAAAGTTTTCATACATGTAAGTACAATGGGTTCTACTCTTTCAGGTAGTTTGTTGACAATAGAAGCATAACCCCTTCGGTATATTTTATGTACCTTGCTATTACCTTCAAATTATTCTGCATGTTATTGTTCTAAACTTTGGAAAATAAAGTGCATTATTGAGTATACTTGTTAATGTATACTCTATTCTATTTATTTATCAGTGGTTTCTGGATGCTTAGTATGTAAAAGTCACTTGTAAAATAAAGATTGCGTTAAGAAACCCTTAGCATGATACAATATTTGTTCAAATTAACTTTTCCAGTGCATATTTCTCAAAGAAATAATAGCATGTTTAAAGTTAACTGGTAAAGTTAAGATGGGTGTTCGTAGTTTCTTTACTTATACTTCTTATAAATCTGTGTTCTTCTAGGAAGGTGCTGGATGGACGCTTTGGAATTGGCTTTGAAATGTTCTAGTCTTCTCAAACGTACAATGATCAGGGAAGGAAAGGAACATGACCTGAGCATTTCATCAGATAGCACCCATGTGACTTTGTACGGCTTATTACGTGCTAACAATCTCCACAGTGGTGACAACTTCCAGTAAGTAGATATTACTACTAATTTATAATGATTTCAGAGATCTTGTACACTAGCTGAACAACAAGTTGATAGTCCTAGTATTTTGGCAATGAATATACGATTGAAATTTGCCTATCTTCTCCTATATGGCCTACGCCTTTAAAATTTGTCCGCTAAAAGGTATAATAGATAATGTGAAATAGGAAGAAAAGGGACAAACGGGAAGGGGAAGTGGGAGGGGTAGGGGAAAGGAAAGAAGGGAATGGAATTAATATGAGAAAATGAAAAAATGGAAACAAAGTCTTTGTA